GTTTACTTGTCTGTGTGTGTTTACTTGTCTGTATGTGTTTACTTGTTTGTGTGTGTTTACTTGTCTGTATGTGTTCGCTTGTCTGTATGTGTTTGCTTGTCTGTATGTGTTCGGGTGTCTGCACAGTGGTTAAACTGCTTAAACAGACACGTGCTTGTCAGTGTAACAGATAATAGAATAATGATTTAAAACAACTATTTTTGTTTTAATTCTATTTTATTATTTAAAATAATATTTAAGATTTTAAATTTTAAGAGAAACAGACACTCACCCTCCCCACGGTCCGGTACGCCACTTGACGGTCGTCGTCGAATCTCATTCCGGATAATATTGCTCGTCTCGTTCTCCTCCTCATCCTCCTCCTCGTGCTGCTGCTGTACCGGCTCCTCCACCTCCACCTCCTCCTCCTCCACCTCCTCCTTATCCTCCTCCTCCTCCTTGTCTTTGTCCCACGTGGGTTTATACGACGTGCCTCCCTCGTCGTCCGGCGGCGGCGGCAGAAGGCAGCGGGTCAGCTGACAGGGCTTCGTGCTGACCGGTCGTTCGTCACTCTCGCAGTGGTGCCTCTTTGCGACATCGTTCTCACGCAGGATGCAGGCGACGTAGCGCGTCATCTTACCGATGCCACACGTCACCGGACACTGCCGAGGTAAAGCACATTGACCAGCGGTCAACGGTCAGCAGCTAGGGATGGTCCGAAACTCTGTATTCAATTACGAAACTCTGTATCGAATCATGAAAGTCAGCGATCAATCACAAAAACTCAGCGATCAATCACAAAACTCAGCAATCAATCACAAAACTCAGCAATCAATCACAAAACTCAGCGATCAATCACAAAACTCAGTGATCAATCACAAAACTCAGAAGTATGATCTTCGCTCATTGCTATATCGCAACTTATCAGATTTTTACAAAAAACACGATAAAACACGATAAAATTATGATCGACGCAACTGTGAAACAAGTGTGAGGTTGCGCGGGCACGCAGCGACGCATTGCGAGGACGCCAGGTGGCGTTCGTTACCTGGCCCCAGTCTCCCGTCCTCCACACGCCGCAGCCGCGCAGACGACAGCTCTCCGTGCTCGCAGGCCGCGTGATGTGCACACACAGCGCCTCGTCAGCCATGTTGCCCCCGTCGTCCGCGCAGCCAACGTAGCGCAGACGCTTGCCATCGCCGCAAGACACCGAACACTGAAAGAGACGCACTTCTCTGGTGAATGCATGAACTTCCCATGGTCTCTGCACTCACTGCTGACCCCAACTAGGGTCCCTATATACAGAGAGTTGCACCAACTCAGGATTTGACGCCATGTTGTTTCCAAATGGATCAACACCGCTGCCGCTTAAGTACAGCGCTGTATGGATACGCTGTACAAGGGTCCGTAGTAATTAATTAGACTAATCGTGCTTCAGTAAACTCAAAAATTACAGAGATTATAGCTAAGACATGTGTCTATGTGTAGCTAGATTTATAGAAATGTAACTCAAATCGTTCGTGCCATATGATAGTACACTTTCTTACCGCCCAATAGCCGTGCGTATATTAGCCTGTGCGATACCGCGCAACTGTAATTCACAAGATAAATGCGTTCCACTCTCCACTTGCTCGCAGCTGTAATATTTGTTTTGCAAGTCTATAAATCTAGCTACACATAGACACATGTCTTAGCTATAATCTCTGTAAATCTTGAGTTTATTGAAGCACGATTAGTCTAATTAATTACTACGGACCATTGTACAGCGTATCCATACAGCGCTGTACTTAAGCGGCAGCGGTGTGGATCCATTTGGAAACAACATGCCGGCAGCGATCACGTGACCGATTTTTTCCGACTCGTCATGGCGCAACTCTCTGTATACAGGGACCCTAACCCCAACACCCTCACCACCAAGACCCTACCCCCCACATCGCCCCTAGTGTCTCTGGATTTATTGGTGTCCAACCCTATATCCAGTGGCATCCCTGCACATGCCACCCCCACGGTGTCCATGCCCCCCGTGCCCTCACACTCACTTACTCTCACATATATACAACAACAAAAATAAGTGTAGGCATTGAATCAGAAAATAATCGGACAAATCTCGTGTCGGAAGCATTGTAACCACTGGTAATGAATCGCAGTAGCAAATGTGACAACAAATGTACCAGTCTATCCCCACCCGAGCGATGACATGGTATTCGGTTTCTAGTGATTTGGTGATTTACGGAGGGATACTCACTTAGATGGAGGCAACTCGTTAGCAGCATGCATTGTTGTTTACAGAGACACCTACATGAGTCACACGTGGATAAATGCTGACCGTTCTATTGTTCCATCGGTGGCCATGCATCTTTGTGAGGGACCAGAATACCAACTGACTTCGCATAACCGCTTATTTTCAAATTGATTTTGATCTTAACTTTTATTATTAAATTAATGGTTCCTTAATTTCAAATTCTTGTTCTTAGCGGTAATACAGTGGAATGTCAACTTGATATCACTGCGAAGTGGTCTCATTTCCAAGTGATAATTGAATGTGATCCTCACCATAAGTCTTTGGCGATCCCAAAAGTATTATCATTTAAAGCTCATCATAAATTTGCATAGATTTCACGTCGACACATGACGTAGCAACGCTAAAATACTTGTGAGGTAGTATGAGCTAGTCTAGTAGAGTATGATTGATGGAAGAACGCTGGGAGAATATACTGATAAAGTTACATTTCCGTACGCAGAAGGAATTTCGATTCGTTTGTATCGTCAGATTTGCTGCAGCCTCATGTTACTACAAGTTGCTTACAATAGAGCTCACGGTGACCCGCCAGTATTTATCAAGCAATCCGAATGCTAAGGAGCTTGACTTCTTAAAAACTTTTTAAACTTAAATTACTTAAAAAAAATTTGTGACAGGTAGAAATTAGCACCACCTCGCTATGTCTTCTCTGTCCGCTGTAAGGTTACCAGATTTTAATGAAACCAGGGACACTTTTCGGAAGCTATCATATTGTAAGTGCTACGTATTATACATTAAGTATGTTATATGTTATTGTAAGTTATGTTATAACAATTTTACAGCACTTTATTCAGAAAACCGATTACGTGCTAGAACTACAGTATTTATAAAATCTCGTCGCAGCTTCTGACAAGAGAAACTGGCATGTGTGACCGTGAAAAGATCCCGAAAAGGCCACAGTAATAAGATCTAAACGCGTCTACTATTATTTCTATTGTCAGCTTGGTGACCTTCGAGCAATTACACTGAGGTCGCCACAAGGTCGCGGCGCAGCGTGTCACTGCGTTACTAGCGCCACCTGGGTGGGTAATTCTCGTACCTGCTTCTCTGTAATGCGCTTGATGCACTGCACCTTCTGCCTCATCTTCCCGTAGCCACAAGACACCGAGCACTTAGACTGACCAGTGACACCCCACTCGACCCGGCAGTCCTTGTTGCATCGCTGCGTCTTCTTCGGCGGCTTGTCCCGGCGGTTGCATTTACTCTCCGACACGCTCGCCCCCTTCCCGTCTGTACACATGATTCTCTTCACTGCCTTGCTTT